ATCCATTGTTGAATACCGATCCCGATGTATTTTCATTGTATGTGTGGTAACTAATATGGCATGTCAAACGTTGCAATATTCGATCTTTTCCATTTGTATTGTATAACTTTCCATTTGTATTGCATAATTTTTATTTGTATTGTATGATTTTTCATTTGTATTGTATAATTTTTCATTTGTATTGTATAATTTTCAATTTGTATTGCATAATTTTTATTTGTATTCTATAATTTTCCATTTGGATTTTATAATTTTCCATTTGGATTGTATAATGTTTATTTGTATTCTATATTTTCCATTTGTGTTGTAAAAAAAATCATTTGTATTGTATAATTTTTCATTTGTATTCTATATTTTCCATTTGCATTGTATAATTTCTTATTTGTATTGTATAATTTCTTATTTGTATGCGATAATTTTTCATTTGTATTGTATCCGAGGATTGTTTATTTATTTCGTTACGAAGGATGTCATTGGTCATAAAATTTAGTCTGTATAAAGGTCTCAGGTGCCCATCACAAACTTAGTCTGGTACCCTTCCCACAATTCCGATCGCACACTCTCTACAAACACAAACTCGGCTCCTCTATTTGCGGTGGATGCTAAGGGACGACCATTTGATTCTCGGGGGGTGTCGAATCCGATTATTTATTTTCATTCTCTCGCAGGAGAGAATATTTATTTCCAATATGACCAGAGACAAGGAGAAAAACAAAAAGAAGAAAATCCGCCCAAACCCGAAAACTCAGTTTTTTGGGGGTGGGGGTAGTTACCACCACTCAAGGTCAATTTATTTATTTTCTCAGTCAGCATTCCTAAGGACAGATTATTTATTTGCCATCTACCAGCACTCCCTTTTTAGAATCCAATGACCGTCTAACATGCACGCAAATACATATGCCGCCGAAATATGGCTGAAATATTGCCGACTCGGCGTTAAACAATAATCAATCAATCAAGCAAATACATATGAGCCCAGTTTGCTTTGAGCATCCGGAACATCTTCAACCCGATACAGGCTGAAACTTGACCAATGGAATCCTGCGTAACGAAACAAATAAACAGTCCGCAGATACAATACAAATGAAAAATTATCGCATACAAATAAGAAATTTTACAATACAAATAAGAAATTATACAATGCAAATGGAAAATTATACAATACAAATAAAAATTATACAATACAAATGAAAATTATACAATACAAATAGAAAATTATAGAATACAAATAAAAATTATACAATACAAATGAAAAATTATACAATACAAATAGAAAATTATACAATACAAATAAAAATTATACAATGCAAATGGAAAATTATACAATGCAAATGCAAAAGATCGAATATTGCAACGTTTGACATGCCATAAACTAAATATCATACAGTTTCAAAGTACTTTTTCATGAGCAAAACGTGTTACCAATAATCCCCCAAAAGAGATTTCAGTCTGTCTTTACTGCAATTGTCAGTCTACACGATCCATTGTGGAATACCGATCCCGATGTATTTTCAAAGTATTTTAAATATAAGTTTGTGTGGTAGCTGAATATCATCAGTTTCAAAGTACAGTATCATGGGCTAATAAACATATATAAAATCCTAATTATCAAAATCCTGCCTCTCAAAATTCAAAAGTTAAATTAAACTGCCAGGGGTATTTTTTGCAAAGTAGGTCAAAGGTCAAGGTCAAGTGGATTGTAATGCTGGTATTTTTCATATTGTCTTATGACAATCAGTGCACATGCTAAATAGCATCTTAAAAGTCCAAATTATGCTGTATATCGGTACTATGAACTTTTGAAAAGTAGGTCAAGGGTCACGAGGTCGGTAACCATGGTAATTTACATAGGCCATAGTGCCAAGCAATATATGTGCAAAATATCAAATCCATACCTCTTACAGTTCTCGAGAAATAGGATGTGACAGACAGACAGACGCCGGGTAAAGTGATCCCTTAGTGCCGCTCTGCTCTGCAGGCGACACAAAAATCAACCTTGTTGACTTAATAGTATATACATGTAGGCTTAGGTTACAACATACCCGTGATCACATTCGAGTGATCACTGGTGATCTGGAATGATTGATTGTTGAAGTTTTACACATGTATGTCCCTTACGAGATTTCCTCACTCAAATGAGACGTTACCGACCTGGAATGAGGCATCCAGTCTGGAGTCACAGAATTGATCCTTACGTCACAGGTTCGACTCTGCAGGGCACGGAGACCGGTCCTTTGGATGAAACCGTATAAACCGAAGTCCGGGCCATGTCGGAGTAGGTACTGGCGTGAAAGATTAAGTTTGCAGCTTTCCACCGGTAATTGGTGGCACCTGGCGTTATACAGTGGGTATATATTTTGTTATAGGAAAAATAAATAAAGTCTGAAGCCTGTGTTTAATTGCATTAAAAATACGATTCTTTGTGCCACTTTTTCCAGATATTAGTCAAGTGTTTTAGAGAGAAAGAGAGAGAGAACAAATAGAAGGGTATAATTTGAACAAGAAACAAATGAGCTGATTGGTTTATTTAGAAACCTATCCGTTCTGCTTATTTTATTTAGCCCAGCAAATACTGATGGGAAGATTTACAGTGTCATACTGGATACTTTTTTAAGACTTCCTTTTTATTCAATTCTAGGCGAATGCTTAAAAAACATTTATTGGAAACTCATTGTAAATTTAAATATTTCGACCTAAGTAACCAATGAAATGGATTTTGCTGTATCTGTCATTTGTATGGTCACGTAACATCTTAGGCAAACGTGAGGCATAAGGGGTAGCTTTTGACGATTACCAAATACACAGTAAGTCGGTCGCTGTAACAAACATCGTCAGTCGAGAATTACATGTCAAAATCAATTTTTTTTGTAGCCTTTCGAGTTTTCCATGGCAGCAGGATTTTTATTTTTTTAAACAAAACGATGAACGGTACCGTCAAGTTGACAAAATGTCGTATATAGTATTACTTTTCAGTACATGAGATACTTAAAATGTCACTGAAACTTTTTTTATTTGAATGTGACCTCTGTGTGAGAAAACAATCTGTTGTTGACAAGGGGTTAGTTATTTATCAAACCTTTGACAAGAACTATTCTTCTCAACTATGGAGCGACAAATCACGAGATTCAATTGATGATCCTAGGCTTCTTCTTAACCAACCTAATTAGATTTGACAATTAATTACGTTAAATTCAATAGTAGATCCCTGTGACTTACTTTTGAATAAATATATCCCAGGGCACAAAAAATCAACTTTTTAGGTTTGGTGACCCTATATATGAGTCATAGAGTTCAAATTACATATTAAGTTACGAATTTTCATAATGAAAAGCTGTAAAATTCAGAGAGTAGGTAACTGTGACCTTTTTTAAATACGTACCTCAATACCTAAAGATGCAAAATTTGACGATTCTAAGCCACTTAGTATCCTAAATATTGAGATATATGAGTATGAAATAGGGATTCGGTCAATTACATACCAAAGTTTTTAACTAAACTACAACTACTTTGCCAAATTCTTCAAAGTATGAAATTCCAAAAGTAGGTCACTGTGATTTGTTGCTCTCTTCAAATTAATTAATGATATCAACAATTCCACTGACGCGCTTTTCATTTGAAGAGAGTAATAATTCTATTAATGAGCGCAATAAGTGAATTATTACTCTTTTCAGTCGAATTATTGCGCGCATCAACTCAATCAATGCGCACAATAATTGAATTATGGCTCTCTTCAACTGAATTAAACCGTTCACGGTAGCTCAGTTGGTAGAGCGCTCGCTCCGTGATCGGGAGGTCGTGAGTTCGAATCTCGGCCGCGACAGACCTAAGTCGATAAAAAATAGGTAGCAACTGTTCCTTCGCCATGCGCTCGGCACTTTGGAGTGAAAGTTGCGGGTCCTTCGGATGAGACCTTAAAAACCGAGGCCCCGTGTCACGGCAGGCGTTGGCACGATAAAGATCCCTCACTGCTCAATGGCCCTGAGTGCCGAGTAAAGGTCAAAATTTGAAGCCCTTCACCGGTATATGGTGACGTCTCTATATGAGTGAAAAATTCTCGAATGGGACGTAAAACAATATACAATCAATCAATCAACTGAATTAATGATATTGCGAAATAATCCTCTTAGAGAGAGAGCAACTATTCAAGGATTTACTGTGTATGTAATCCTGTACCGGTAATTTTAGCATAGATGATTCTCACAAATAACAGTGACATATCTCACAAATCCAGCGAAGAACAGAGCAAAACAATTGGTGGGAATCATGTCAATCAAAATACGATCCAATGATAGGATGTATTTGCAAACAAGGTCGTTATATATCGACCATAGAATTTGCGAAATGCTGACATAAAACGAGATAGTTGAAAACCATTTAACATCAGTGGCCTGTCTCTGTTTAAACATATCATCACCACAAACAGATGAAAGTGGAATAGGGAATGTTGACGATAAATAAAGCTGAAGTCATTCCGTTTGTCATATCGTTTAGTTGTTAGTTGGCCATTAACGTCTATAGTCATAATATTCAAGTAAGAAGCAGATGTGTCAATTATATCATAAAAATATCTTAAACAATTTCAGATTATATTAATTTGGCGCTCCATACAGCCCCGAGGACTGTCTAGCTAGGGCTCGATGAAAAAAAATATATCCCTCATAGCCAATAGGTAAGTGTACATATTATTTTGGAAGTCTTGAAGCACTTTAAGTTGGTTTTTATAAGACCAGTTTAATAAAATCCATAACACTGGGTTTGAGGGTGGTATTTCTTTCTATCGTGAGACTTTTCTCAAGGGGTTTGTTTAGTAGGAATATTTGGATTTTAATTAGTATTTCAAACTTTAAAAAAATATATCTTTTTAGAACTTATGCCAAGTACAGAATAAAGACATGTTATTTTCGTCGCACCCTAAATCAGTCGTTAGTAAACACATAATGAAAGAATATCAGAATAAAAATCGCAGAAGCCTATCCACTCTATTGACTGAGGCGATAAACTTAATAAAGATCTGTGAGCTTCCCATTGTGAATGATGTGACTTGTGGCATCGCCATACAGATTCCCGATGACACTTATGAACTTTGGTGGATTTCCATAATGCCGCATTAATGTCCAGATGGTTGACCTATCCACACTGTCAAAGGCCTTCTCAAAGTCCACGAAGATTGAGTAAAGAGGAGACTACCATTCAATGGACTGTTCAATGATAATACGTAGTGTGGCAATGTGATCTGTGCATGATCTGTCCTGGCGGAACCCTGCTTGCTCTGATCTTAATTGTCCAATGCTCCTTTCATTCTTTCCAAGATTACTCTTGTTAGGATCTTACTGGCAATGGATAAAAGCATGATGCCTCGCCAATATCCACACTGCGACAGGTGGTCCCCTTTCTTGGATAGTTTAACCGGGTATCCTGTTTTCCACGCATCTGGTACTTTTTCCTTTTCCCACATCTTTTGCAGAAGTGGTTGTAACATCTCTGCTGACTTTGTTGGAATAGCTTTGAGTGCCTCAGGAGGGATACCATCTGGACCAGCTGCCTTTCTATTTTTCAGTGTCTTTATACACTGTAGCCTTGGTGATTTCTATTCTAGATGGTGGTCCTGTATTGATGTTAAGTTCTTCTTTCATTGGTGGTATACTTGCAAGACTGGGTGGTGGTGGTCGATTTAGAACTTCCTTAAAGTTCTCTACCCATCTATCTCTTTTTTCCTACATCGCTAGTGATAATTTTGCCTTGTTTGTCCCTCACTGGGGTGTTGGTGTTCACATTTCTTCCAGACAGTGTTCTGAATATTTCACAGAGCTATTTCATGTTGTTCTGTCTGACTGCTCTCTCTGCCTCTTCAGCCATGTCATGAACGAACTGTCTCTTGTCCTTCCTAGGATACTTTTTGACTTGTTTGTTGGCTTCCCTATATTCTGTTCTCAGTTTCTCCATTTGCTGAGTATTCTGATTTTTTGCTTCAAATCTTTCCTTTCTTTCACTTTTCCCCATGATCTTGCTGTCATCCACTCTTTCTGCTCTCTCCTTTTCTTGCCTAGGACTTCACTGCATGTACTTTTCCAAGTGTCTTGAAGCTTTATCTTCTATGGTTGCCTTTGCCAGACACCCTAGTGCCTCATATTTGTTGTTTATTGCAATGTTGAACTCTTCTCTTTGCTTTTAAGAAACTGGATGTTGAGCTTAAATGCTATCGTATCATATATTTATTTATTATTTTTTCACAACTATGACGACTTACTTATATGCTGTGCCTCATGTACCACTGATGTTGGTGTGAGTGAAATAAATAAATGAAATGAAATGAAGGGTTATTTTTTTTTTTTTTACATTTACACTGTATTTCGCGCCGATGTTTTTTTTACCCGTAAATGCTCCCCACCAAGCGACTTTTCATACGAACGGGAAATAACTTTTAAACTTTTAAAGGTAGTTTTTTTATTTAGAGAAAGTGATATTTTACATGTACTGAACATCGATTTATTTTGCTTAAAAAATGTGCCGATACTATTTTTTAAAAGCGTCGTGTAATTATATGTATTTATGCTTATAAATATTGATAATTACGATTGCAACGTCATCCAATTAATTTTACATACGTTAAACAATTTATATGCGTCACTCTTCTTCAGACATGGTGACAAAAGTTAAGGTCAACCTTGCTATCGGAAAAGAAACTAGCAGAAATTAGCAGATATAACGACTGTATTTGCGTATGATGGTTGGGATTTAGGTTAAAGAACGAAGTGGGATGATTGAAGTAAGCTAAGATCCCTGGTTTTGTTCCAGCTTCGCCTGGATATTATTAAAATTTTTTCTTCATATTGAAAATGAAATATATTTTGAACTTTATTGTCCTATGATCAGTGTAGATTACAATATTGCGATATATTTAATGCTCAATGCTACATGAAGGAAAACCCTATTATTGACATTATCAACCCTCCAAGTATTAAAATTGCTAGAAGAGTATATAATTTTCTGAAAAAGTGTTTAGATATTAGAAAAGAACAAACTTCAACATAACTGATATGCTCACTATGTATGTTATTTTTTTTTTTTTTTTTTTTTTTTTTTTTTTTTTTTTTTTTGGATTCATGACTATATGCCAATGTAAGATGGTGTTGTCAATAAATAAATTGAATTGAATAGTATACACTGTATTTCTCGCCGATTTTTTTCTCCAAATGCTCCTTGCCACCAGACAAGTGGTCAATTACTTTGATAAGTGAGTGATTAAATTACCATTTCTGTGAAATGTAATAATTACAATCATATTTAGATTACTTCTTTTTTGGATAGTACATATGATTGATAAAATTAAAAAAATAATTTTTCATAAGTAATCATTATACTTTTGATTACGTTACCAGGATAAGTTTTGCCGAAGTGTACATGTATGACAATTCATATGAACATATTTTATTTTCGATAAACTTCAATAGATGGAATTTGGCAAAAGTAGTCTCTCTCTCTCTGTATGTGTGTGTGTAATGATCAGTAGATCTATGTACATGTATTATTCCAATGTGTTATATATTTAGTTAGATCAACTATACATTATATGCATTAAAAAAGTTAATCATATCACTTGAAATGCATTTTAGCACTATAAGTTGCTGGAATGTTTTATGTGTTAGGAAACATTTGATAAACATTTAAAATTGAATAAATAATTTTATCATTTTATTTTCCAAATTTAATTGACTAGAATGAGTATTCAAAATTGTGATGTGCAAAAAATGTAAGCTATAATTTTTTTTTACCAAAATCGATGAGATTCCTGTTCGTTTGTAAAATAAATTATAAAATTTATATAAAATAACAGGGATCAAATGAACCAATTGCAAACTTAACGATTACTATTTTATCTACCGATAAATAACATAGGTATAAACCCTCCCCCCCCCCTCCCAAAAAAGGTTAAAAAAAACTCAAGTGGCCTTTGTCGCCGCGCCCTGAAATAACGTGTCATTTAAAAACCAGAAGTCTTTGACGAAACTGTAGCTCTACTGGTTGTACGAATAAAGGAAGATAAAAGTAGCACTTGGACTTGAAACTTTGCAACAGCAATAAATTGAATAACGATCTTTGGTTTAGTTTCTTTTTGTGGCAAGATTTATTGCAATCAGACTAAAACTGTAGGAGGAATAGCATTTTAAAACAATTTTACAGAAATTTCGTTTAACGAAAAACAATAACGACAATTTTGTATCTCAGTATAGTCTACCTGTATGCCAAGTTATACTGAAATCAGACAAAAAGTGTAGGAGGAGTAGCGTTTTGAAAGTATTTCAAGAACATCTCTATTTTTAGTAACCATGGCAACACTGTTCATCGAAATCTAAAACTGGTACAGAGTATTATGTATGTGTAGTCTACTGAGTAGTGTGTGCTGAGTTATTCTAAAATCAGACCAAAACAGTAGGAGGAGTAGCATTTTGAAAGTATACGTATTTCAAGGAAATTTCTATTTTTAGTAACGATGGCAACAACGTTCATCGAAATCAAAAATGGATAAAAAGAATCATGTATCTTAGTGTAGTCTACTTGTGTGCCAAGTTATATTGAAATCAGACCAAAACTGTAGGAGGAGTAGCGTTTTGAACGTATTTCCAAGAAATCTCTATTTTTAGTAACCATGGCAACACCGTTCATTGAAATTATAAACCGATGTAGAGAATTATGCATCTTATTATAGTCTACAAGTGTGCCAAGTTATATTGAAATCAGATCAAAACTGTAGGATGAGTAGCGTTTTGAAAGTTTTTCAAAGAAATTTCTATTTTTAGAAACCATGCCCCAGGATCATGAAACAGACTTAGACTTAAGTCAAATTTTCAATCACTTGTAAAATGTTTATTAATTATTGAATAAATCTCTAAATTTGCAGATAACACTAGTAAAGCAGTACTAAAAAAAATTAATTTTGTTCTTCTTGACTTCTATAAAAAATTAGTACAATATAAAAATTTTGACTTAAGCCTAAGATGTTTCATGATCCCGGGGTCATGGCAACACCGTTCTTTGAAATCAAAAACCGATACACAGAATTATGTATCTTAGTATAGTCTACTTTCCAAGTTATATTGATATCAGACCAAAACTGTAGGAGGAATAGCATTTTGAAAGCATTTCCCAGTTTTTATAGACAGACAGACAGACAGACAGACGGACGGACGACGGACACCTTACTATAGCATAAGCTCTTCTGGCCCCAGGATCACGAAACATCTTAAGCTTAAGCAAAAAAATGTATATTGTGCTGATTGATTTAAAAATGAAGCAGTCCAACATGAAAATGCTTTTTCACTTTGCATCAATATAAACTGCTTTTGCATTTGAATTAAAAGTTTCGGTTCACAAGTAATAAACATTTTACGGATGATTGAAATTTTGACTTAAGTCTTAAGTCTGTTTCATGATCCCGGGGCCTGGTCTCTGACCAGTAGAGCTAAAAAAATAAACTTATAAAACCTAGGTTTCAATCCGACTTCCCCAGAAAATTATCGTCCTATAACTCTATTGAGTTGCTTAGGTAAACTCTTCACATGTATATTATGCAAGCGTTTAAAGATGTATTCAGTTGAAATTGAACTTATTCAAGAGAATCAAGCCGAATTTAGGAAAGGATATTCTACTTTAGATCATATTCTGACTTTACACTTCTTATCAAACACACTGATGAAGTGCAAGAAAAAACTTTTTTGTGCTTTTATAGACTTGAAACAAGCGTTTGATACTGTTTGGAGAAATGGTCTTTGGAGTAAACTTTTAAATTAAGGAATTAAAGGCAAATGCTTCAAGTATATTACAAACATGTATCAAGAAATTAAATCACTTATTAAGATGAACGGCACTACAACCTTTTTTTTTGTAATGTCGGAGTCCGGAAAGGGGAAAGCTTTTCCCCTTTTTAGGTCACCTGAGTAAACTCAGGTGACCTATTGCTATCCGTTTTTGTCCGTCGTCGTACGTCGTTCGTCGGTCGTAAACTTTTGAACATTTTCAGCTTCTTCTCTAGAACCAGCAAACCAATTTCAACCAATTTTGGCATATAGCATTTATGGGTGAAGGGGAACAAAAATTGTGAAATTCGTGGCCCCTGCCCCCCTGGGGCCTGAGGGGTGGGGCCAAAACCATCAAAATTAATGCAATCTTTAAAAATCTTCTTCTTTACTCCTGGACATCAAGCAGTCAAACTGTTGGCATGATTGTAATATGCATTGAGCCCTCTACCAAAATTGTGAAATTCATGGCCCCAGGGTCAGGGGTTCTGGTGCTAGGGCGGGGCTATATAGATCATATAGTGAAAGTGCATTATTTCTTTGAAAATCTTCTTCTTTACTCCTGGGTATTCTTTAAACAAATTAAATACATAGCTATGATAAGCAATGGTGACTCTAAAGAAATTGTGAAATTCATAGCCCCAGGGTCAGGGGTTCTGGTGCTAGGGCGGGGCTATATAGATCATATAGTGAAAGTGCATTATTTCTTTGAAAATCTTCTTCTCTTCTCCTGGATATTACTTAAACAAATACATGGTTATGATAAGCAAGGATGCCTCTTCCAAAATTGTGAATTTCATGACCCCTGGATCAGAGGTTCTGATATTAGGGCGGGGCTCTATTTATTATATAGTGAAAATGCATTAATGCTTTAAAAATCTTCTCTGCACCTGGGCATATCAGAGGCAAAAAGAGTAAAAGTTTTAATGAGGAAGGGTATTTTTACCAGATTTTTGAACATCAGAACCATTTGATCAAGTGTTCTGGTCCAGGCCAGGGCTCTATTAATTTGTATTCTACTGAGAGGAGTTATTCCCCTTTGCCACTTAATTACTTGTGATAATTAATCACTGTAAATAATGTACTTGAAAGGTTCATAGAATAAGAGAATTATGCAAGAATTTTTATTGTATAAGACAAAAAGTACTTTCATAGTTTTAATGATCAGGTAGACTTGTAAGTAACAGATAAATAAAAATGAGACAA